CTAATGGAAGGGCAACACTATAAGTACACACATTCAAAACAAAATGATCTAATTATACTTCTACTGCATCAATAGATGATTTTTATCACGGTCAAGCCTATAAGACATATATATGCACCATGAAGGTAGTGAAACCTTCTATATTCAACCAAAACAGCGTTTCTTAGGGACATATAGCAGAAAAGTAAGCTAACTGTGATCAAGGGGGTTACAACTGAGTTGATATCTATTGCATTTGGCTAAAAACACAAGACCCAATCACGTTCAAGTTTGTCTAGTTATGTCATTCATCAAACAGTAGCAGCAAGAGCAAACTTAAAAATTGTTGATCTAGGAACTGTAAGCACCGCGTCACACCACTCGACCTTCCCCCAAATCTCTTCAACGTTGTTTCTTTGAAGCGCAATCACTGCACACCATATCATCTTGTCTTCACTGTGAGGCTCATACTTGTCCCACACAACGGCCATCTTTCCACCATAACCCGCCAGTTTAACAAGACTTGAGCTAGCAAACTCAGGCAGTCCTCTCAAACCTTTAATTTGTTTCCACAATCTCACCTTCTTATCATACCATTCTAAATCTCCTTCATTATAACAGTACAAAACATTCTCTATTGCACAATTCGATAACCAATTCCATCTCATACTCATTTCTCGTTCCACAAAGTCCCATCTACCTTCCTTTGGATCGTAAGCCAGAACCTTTCTCCCAATTGTCAGATAGACCTTTCCTTCAATACATGTAATTTTGGTTAGCAACCTCGAGTATTGGTCTCGGTAAGGGATGGTGACATGATCCCATATTTGGGTTTTTGTATCGAAAACCTCCATTTTCGAAAATTCTGATACGTCTTCTAAGAAACCTTCTACTACATAAATCTTTCCATCAAAGAAACTACCACAAGGGTACTTCATCTTCACTTGCAAGCTTGGAGCCTCACGCCACGTGTGAGACCAAAAGTCTAATACTGAGACCCTAGATGAGGCCAAAGTCTACATTTAAACTCAATAGTAACTTCTACCAATAAATAATAATTTGTAACTCATACTCAATAATTATAAGAGTTTCACCACTTCTCATCTATAAATATCAATTCTCTTATCCTTCTCCACCATATTTTCAAATCTGTAAATTTACTTTATTTTATCTAAAATTTACCCAGATTGACTCAAAACTTTGAAAAAATAACTAGAATGACTCTCTTTGCTAATGGATAACTAGACTAACTCATATTTTGTGTAAAAAGACTAATTAACCTTAGTCAAGGTTTCTCCACCATTTTCCTTTACAAAAAAAAAAAAAAAAAATTCAGAAATCGAACTTAATTAAAAAACATAATAACAAAGAAACAAAACATAGTTTTTCCCGATTAATTAAAAGACATTCACGATTTAGGGTTTCTCATAGTTTTTCCCCTTTCCACAGAGATTGACACATAATCTCTTCTTCTTCGTCGATTTTAGAGTGTAAACCCTAGAAATCCGCCGCTTCTTCTATCCGCCGCTCATTCAATCCGCCGCTTATTCAATCTGCTGCTCTTTCAATCCGCCCCTTTGTCGATTTCGTTTCGATTTGCTATTCGTCGTGGGTACCGACGAATAATCTTCTCCGGTTCCGACGAAGTCGCGTCTCCGGCCACATACACGGCGGCGAGGCTTCAGCCCTTGTTGATTGCATCACGATTTCTCTTCTCTCGTGGTGACCGTAACTCTTCAGTGTAAAACAGGAAAACTATAATTTGCTGTCTAATTTTGAATGAAATACAAAGGTTGCCAAGAACATAATTGAGTTGAAACATAAAGAACCAGATCAAACCAACAGAAGAAACGTTAAGAAAACTTTATGAATTACATGTCTTACGATTATGTCCTACTTGATTGCATTTCCCACAAGTGTGTAGTTTTCTTGGCTTCTTCTTCTCCATAGCAATCTCCAATGCAGATTTAATTCTTGATTTTTTTGGCCTTCCTGGTTGTTGACGAGCTTCTGGGGGCAAACATATCTTGGTAGCCACATGATCAGGAACAGGTATAGCAAAATCCCTAGGCATGATGGCGTTTGCATAGGAATTGCACAAGTAGTTTTTGTGATAATAAGGATGACACATTGAAATTCTAGAGACTTTCCTATTTTCACCCGCCGCAATTGCATGAGCACATGGCAATTTCTCCAGGTCAAACCTGCGACACGTACACTTTTTGTCTCTCAAATTAACAACATGGAGAGAAGATCCATGTGTAACTTGAAACTGATGTGCATCTATAGCTTGTACAGTAAGTAACTTAGCGTACTCTACACGGCTCTGTAAAAATAATCAATGGGTAAATATCAATTTATGAACAATATGCATGAATAGCCTTGCAAGTGTTGAACATGTTTAGAGATTGAACCTCAGAATTTTCTCTACTCCACGTGTCAGAGCTGTGGTCAATTTCAATGCATCATTCCTTCGCTCTGAAAACCATCTTGTCATCATGGACCTTACTTCATCTAGCAGCTGGACTATTGGAAAACTCCTCGCATGTGACATCACGTTATTCATTGATTCTGCAATGTTACTTGTAAGTAAGTTGTACCTATCACCCGGAAAATGTACACGTGTCCACAGTCGCACATCAGCTCGTTCCAGGTAATTATGAAGAGCAGGACTCAGCGCCTCAATTTGATCAAATGTGGTTTGAAAATCGACTAATCTAAAAGCATTTGCCGCCTTCTTTACCAAACCAAATGCATCCCGATCTTTAAAGCGTACCAATATGTTCTTGTACATATGGTATGTACATATTCCCCGACTCGACTTTGGATACACCTTCTTTATTGCTTTACCAATGGATTGGTGCCTATCAGAGATAATAGCAAGACTGTCGTCATCTGGTATCACGCAACTGAGCTGTTTGAAAAACCATTCCCATGATTCATCATTCTCTGTATCAACCACGGCAAAAGCTATTGGAAAAATCTGGAAATTGCCATCTTGAGCCGTTGCTGTTAGAAGTGTCCCTTTGTATTTTCCCTGTAAAAAAGTGCCATCAACGACAACAACTTTCCTCATGTAAGGAAATCCAAGCATGCTTGCACCAAACGCTAGAAACAAATACTTAAATCTTTGCGTTGCATCAACTTCAAGTCGCGTTAAGGTTCCAGGATTTGCTCTACGTATCATGTATAAGTATGTGGGTAGTTGCTCGTATCCACTCTCTGGACTCCCCCTCACCAATTCACGGGCGTGTCGTAGTGTCCGATATGCCTTCCAATACTCCATCTATCAGAAAATAAAAAATAATTGATTGTGTGTGCGAATAGTAGAAATTATCTATTCCAATGAGTCAAAAAATGTACCTTTATTTGAAACCTTTTATTCATCGCTTCGGCAACGTGCATTGGTAATACCGTGGGTCCAACTCCACCAACAAAATCCTTATACAACACACCAAGTATATCATGCGTTGCTTGTCGAGCACGTGCAGAACGGTCTGTAACTGAACATGTATGTTCCGAAACATACTTACGGACATGAAACTTTGGATAGTCGTTTGTTGGTGTAGCTCGTACCTTCCACGTACAACCTTGAACCCAGCACTTGACAACCAATATAAATGGTGTCGATTTATAAACAAAAAAATCAAATTTTTGAACCACGGTAAGTATCTTCAATCGTGTCTCCAAATGCTCTTTCGTTTCATAACATTGTCCAACAGCCAATTCCACGGCAGACATTTCTAACGTTGCATAATGATCTTCTTCTTTTTGTTCTTCAATGAAAGTACCTAGACTCCTCTTCTTCATTGGTAAATTAGGTTTTTCCTTTTCTTCTGGTGGAATCCCATACAAGCTAAAATTCTCGTCATCGGAGTCTGTTCCGTCAGAATCGTCGCAGTAATCAAATCGAATTTCTTCATCTTCCTCGTCTACCTCAACCGCGGCCTCAACCGCGGCTGCGAGTTCCTGAGACAAATCAGTTTCTTCTTCTTCTTCCATCACGTTTTCGTTTCTTTCTCGTTTTCTCTGCAATTTGTTGGCAGTGACACCTTCATTGTCAATTTCATTGCAGTGAGTCGAGTTTTTCCTTTTCACTTCCACACATAGGCGAATTGTATTGCTCTTCAATAACCCTAGAAAAGTGTGAAACTGTCTAGAATTACTTATAAAAACTGGTGGTGTATCACCAGGTAAAGACTGCGACATCATCTTCGAAATCTCGTAGCTCAAGACAACATCGCAGACTCTGTTTTGCAGCCCATAATCCTCAAAGACCATTTGAATGCATTGATCGTAACTTGTTTCACGGTTAACTTCCATCACTCGACATCCCCTTTTGTTATCAATGACAAACGACCATATATTTTTCTCCAAAATCCATTTGCCACATACTAGGATCACCTGATTCATATCCAATCCACTCCCTCTGGTTTGAAACATTATTGATAGAACTCCAAATCGTAGAATAAAACGTGGATTGAAAGAAAAGGTAAAGAGAATTAACCGAAAATGGAAAAAAATTTAACTAATCCACTTGAATAGGAACCCTAAAAAGAGATGAACATTTTTCTGTAGAAAAGGATTGTGGCGTCGTGGTGAGAATAGAGGAGAAAGGAAACCGTAACTGATGCCACAAAACCCTAGAAAATATGGTAAGTTATGATCGTATTTAATATTTTTTTTAAATTAGATTTGGCAGTTAATTTTAAAAAGTCTGTCATGTTACAAGTATGTCTGCGGTGTCGTTATATTTCAGATTTTAAAAAAAACTGCCACACATGATATTTCCAACATAAATTGCGACTTCAACTAAATATTAAAAATCTGTCATAATATAATAAAAGTCTGTCATAACAAATATAAATCTGCTGTCACTAAATAGGTCATTCCAATAATTTTATTTCAATTTAAAAAATCTGCTATGAAACACCAGTTTTTTTAAAAATCTGGTATAACATAAATAAAATCTGTCATAACGTTGTTGGGACTATATAGAACTCAGTCAAAGTCTTCTTTTGGTAACAAAAAAGCAGAAAACGCTCCCAGCCACGAAAATCGAGACACTTTCTTCAACCATGCCTTCCGACGCCGGTGGTGCTTCTGCTCGCCGGCGTCGGGATCTGTCACCTCTTATCAACCTTCTTTTGCTCTGTTTAAGCTTTCTCTTCCTTATTTCCTTTTTCGTTTACTCAAATCTCTCGAAATATCCATATGCCCCTTTTCATGTGGTCTTCTTCCCTGAGGGTTCTCTTTGCGACGGAAGAGTATATCAATGCTCTATTGGCTCCGATCTGAAGCAGATCTCGGATGCATCTCTGTCTTCGAACCCAAAACCAGAAGCTTCACAACAGTCCAGCGGCTCCTCCCCTCAAACATCAGAGCAAGGCTTCATCGACATAACAATAGTCTCTAGATCTGGACTAGCACCGACGCCACTTATGGCTCCTTTTCACCGGATTTCGTTGATGGCAGGAGTATCTCTTGGACCATCAGATGTGTCTTTTCCGGTGGGAACGTCGACGGCACACGACGAGCTCAAACGCTGGCAGGTGATCTCTCTTTATGCTTCACCGCCGACCATCACTCTTATTTTTCACAACGGCGGCGACTGCGTTTTCCTTCTCCTGACAACATCAACCCTAGGGTTTGTTTGGATGGGCCTCATCTTCTGCTGTGGCCCAATAACTCCCTTGTGGCCCATATCCAGGTCTGATCTCTCTATAACTTTGCAAAGCCTTTCTTTGAAATCTTGTTTCTCGCAAAAGGATGGTCGAGGACTCCATTCAATTCTAGGAACAATGCCTTTAGAGGAGATTTGCTTATTCAATTATCGAAACCTGATGGATAGTGCTGTTTATTTATCACCGGATGCAACTCTAATTTTCAAGCTCAGTGGATCAGTATTTTTCTCAAACCTTAGATGTTGTGATGCGACTCAAGCATCGGCTCTTATATGTGAATATATATTGAGTATGGATAATCCCACTAGCAAGCCTAGCCATGGCGTCCCCAGACTAATGGGTAAAGCATCCCAACCCTCTCGAACCTTTTGGATAAAACCGCCTCGAAAACTCTATCCGAGTTCCGCTGCATTTTCTGCGTTTTGGACTTGTGATATTCTTTGGCGAATCCAGCAAACTTACTCCTCTAAGGAGATACCATCGCCGGAACCTTACTTTGGCATTGGGAAAAAGTCTCCACCCGCAGCCTCCTCCATGGAGCACTTCTACAAAAGCTCTTATGCGTCAATCGTGCGAGCTTATTATGATCACAAGCTGATCCGGGATTTCGCGAAGCTAGTCTTCAAATTTGAATCCCTACAGGTTCCAAAAGATCTTCCAGTCTTTGCCATCTTCTTGAAGCTATGCATCTTGGAAAACTCATGGAACCTTTATCCTTATCTTTCATGTAATGCTTTAAGTTTCAGTTGTATGAACTCACCTCTTATGAGGATTTAGATGAATGAAAGTTATCTTTGCACAAAAAAAAAAAAACGTTGTTGGGACTATATGTCATTCTAGCAATTTTTATTTTTTAAAAACAAATCTGCTATAACACTGCAGATTTTATGTTGACATTTAAAAATCTGTCATAACATAAAAACAATCTGTCACCACTAAAAAGTCAAACTAGCAATTATTTTTTCTTTAACAAATCTGCTGCTTTATGACAGATTTGTTCTGAAAAATATTAGTCTGCTAACACTAGAAACAAAAATCTGCTATACACTGAAATAAAACTGTCAAAATTAATGAATTCTGTGGCGTCAAGAGCAAATAAGTCTGTCGAAGGAAAAAAATCTGCTACAATTTTAAAATCTGTCGTAACCATATTCAAAAAAATCTGTCGGAGAAAAAAAAACTGCCGTAAAAAATCTGTCGTGGACCATTAAATCTGTCGTCGAAAATTAATCTGTCACAACGAGGCCGACAGACTTTTCACGGCAGATTTGTTTTTTGGCAAAAATATCAAACACGTTTCGAAATAATAAGAGGGTATTATTGACTTTTTTTTTTCCTGTCAAAGAGACAAAGGGTATTTCGGTCAGAAAAATAACTAGATTAACCCATACCTTTTATAAGTTAATCTAGTAATTAGACCTTAGTTATGAGTCAAACTAGTTTTTCTCCCTTATTTTATGTTCTTGCATGAGTTAAAAACAATTGTGCCATGGTGATAGTGAAGGTTTGATTGTGATATTTATTTTTAAAGATTATATAATATGTAGTTTACATTGTATTTAATTTGTATTTCGTTTATTTTATTTTTAGAGATTATATGGTATATATGTAGTTTATATTGTATTTCATTTTATTTTGTTTCTACCGCATTACAAGAATATATTTCTTTCATTTTTAGTTTTCAAAATTCTTAATATAATATTTATCTGTTTCCCGATTTATCTATGGAAGTTCAAAAGCTAACTATTCTAATATTCACACAAGTCAATCAAATTGAAATGATATATCTTCGTTTTTTACTATTGATGTATGATTATTCTCTTTATCTATTTATTCAAACAAAAAACATTATTCGATGTTTTAGCATTTTGAAATTAAATTTTTATTGCATTTCTCAAATATATGTTCCAACATGTAGTGATATGAATATCATTGTAGTATTTTTCCAAGGTTTGTGGTAAAAATTACTTTTTTCCAACAAAATAATTTAATAAAAACAGTTAGATAATCAATAGCAAATGTTTAAATATCATGTTGGTAAAAAGATGTGAGAAAAAGTAGCTTTAATGAAAAATGTATGCTATTCATGTTAGAAGAAAAACTGTTTTTCCTTTGCATCAAGTACACAAAAATTATGATTGTATATAAATAAGTTGAATTTTCTTAAAATTGAAGATATTAGAACTTAGACTTAATAAAAAAATGTAAGTAGGTGTTAGATCTATCTAAAAACTAAACTATTCTTGATATATGTTTTTTTAATTACAATATACAAATAATTTATAAAATATTTCGAGTCGTACCACTTAATTGATTAATTCTTACAATACTAAAAAATAAGTGGTGTTAAAAAATTATGCATTGTAATCATAGAAGAATATGTGTGATAATACTAAAAGCATAATTTTCTTTTAGTTTTCATTTCAAAATTTTAAATTCATGTTTATAATAAAATTGTAACAAGTCACGCGTAGCGTGGCTACATTCATCTAGTTAAATATAAACAAATGGCTCTTGAATAAAGAAAAAACTAGATCATGACCCGCACGTACGTGCGGGGTTTCATATTTTAAAATTTTTTTAACAAAATTTAATTCAATATAGATTATTTTGTTGTTTTATGATATAATTTAGTGTATTAGATCTGGATCCACGTACGTGTAGAAATATTTTTATAGAAATTGTTATATAGATTTTAAAAATATAAAATATTTTGTTGTATTAGTGAACTTCGTAATAATATAAATATTATAAAGTTAGAGTAATGAACAAAAAATTCAGTTGCGTGCATAATTATATTTTAAGATCCAGACTAATTTAGGTGCAAAAGTTAAATAGTGTTACATTTTTATTTTCTTAACTAATCAAACAGTTCTACCAGTTTGATTACATATGTTAAATAGGATATGAATTCAGTTTTAGTTTGGGTTATTTCATGTATATTAGCAAGGCGTAACTATTTTGGAACAGGAAACATATCATGTCCGGTATCTGTCATAAATTCTTTGTCCCATAAACTGTCACGTACACGTAAAATAAAAATATTACGGTCCCATATCTGTCATAAATAGAGTATGTCTAACTGAAAACGTATGTACATGGTTATGTGTAAACAAATTTTTTTTATATAGTGCTCAAAACCCGAACTCATACCAGTTGGGTATGTAGTTTGATTTTTAATATATGTTCCCCTTTCATCTCGTCTCGTAATTTCTATTTCCATTTTATTCCATTAAAATTATGTTTCAAATTCTTGTTTGCTTACCTTTAAATACCATACAATATTACAATATATACTGTGAGTTTTGCGGATTAATATGTATGCTGTTAAAATTATAAATATATTTTAACAAATTTATTAATGTTTCTAGCTAAATTTTGCATTTTTTTTTTCATTGTTTAATCATAATTAATTCAATTTTTTAGACTAAAATTAAAATTTGAGATATATCTATAAAAGGGATATGCTATTGCTGCATAATTTGTTTTGAATGCAAAATATATAATTAGTTCACATTATTTCGAAAACTGTGTGCAATATATTATGAATTGATTTAAGGAAGATCCGGTTGAGAAGAAAAAAAAGAAAACACAAAATATTTCGAAATTAATATATACAATCTATTGTTTAGATATTTCCGAAACTTGCTATAAATGAATGCCCAATATCGTTTTTTTTTTTGAAATTGTGAAATAAAATTTTGTTTTATATTTCAAAATTTGTGAAAATATTATAACAAAACTGAGTCTTAAATATTTGTATTTAATTTTTTTACGAAATTTCAAATTCAATCTTAAAATCCTGCATTGATAAAATTTTTTAAACTATAGAGTTTTCAATTTTGAATTAAAATGGTATTATTTTTCATTTATTTTTGATATAGAATAGTTTATTAGGATTGGTTTAGATAAAATTTTAGTTGGATATCAAATCTTAGTTTTTCAATTCTCATTGGTTAACAACTTTTTAGAATTTTTTTTGAATTTTCGTCCATAATTAATAAGAGAGAGAAAGTGAGTTTAATTTTTTGGAAACTAATAATTACTTTATAGAATTTTATTATTTTATTATTTAAATATATTATTTTGTGATTACTACTGTATCTTTAATGAATTTATTTAAAAACTAAAACCAATGGCATTTTTGTAATACTTTACACTTTATAAGGTTATTTATGTTTGAGTGCTTCCTAATTAATAATATAGATATCGGAAGATGTAAATATAAATTTCCATAATTTCCATAGTTTATATTTATCGATAAATGTAAATAATTATCGATCGATTTGGATACATAATAGATTCATGAAGAAATTTGGAGGTAGAGCTTTCAGAAATTTTTTATTGAGCTTAAGAACAGATTAAAAAAACATAAATTAAGCACAAGAAGATTTCTTTTAAACTCTTTGACATCATACAAATATCTCATTAGACAATGATTGTCTCTTTTGTAATATAATTGATCGTCTCCTAAGTAGCTAAAGGAACAAAACCTAAAATTTTACATGAACAATTACCATTACATGAGTTTGAAAATCTAACGAATCTTTTACGATACAAATAATTTCTTATATTTTTTCCAATTTACTCATATGATTAATGAAATAACATGACTAGACTTGGGTTTGGGAAGACGTAGAGGAATAGGAAAATAAAAATAAAATATAGTTAGCAATATTTTTCAAACATAAATATAGTTTTATATATAATATTATTTTAATATAAAGTTTCTATTCAATTTTGTCGTCCAATGGTTGACTTTATTTTTGGCTATGAATGTAGATTTTTCTAAAAACAATAGAGTAGATATTTGCTATAATAGTTAGCTTATTTCTTGGTCTAAAATAAATATTCCAAGTATATTTTATTTTTATTTTCACATAGTCCTTAACTTTTATAGTTTACAAATTCTACCCACTTACTTTAGTTTTAAACATGATCTAATAAAACAATATTATTAAAAATAAAATTTCACAACAACAAGCTATATCGACATCTACTTTAATTGGTCAATATTTTGATAACATTAATGGATTTGGATTATTAAATCACTAGTTTATGATGTGTTAAGTTTTTTTACGGCAACTTTAATCGAGTTTATATATATATATATATATATATATATATATATTTAATTTTTGGTGTTAATTATGTATTTTCAGTTTATCATTTTTAATGTCATTGTAATTTCTATATGTTATTCTTATATTTTAGAATTTCAATTAATTTAGGATCTATGATTTTTAATATGAATTTATGTACGTTGAAATTTAATTATATAATTTTGTTTACGTAAAAATTGATAAATATGAAAATTGAGAGAGTACTTTGTAAATAAAAAAATTGTTGGAGCAACACTATTCATATCTCTATATTTTGAGCAAGAAATAAAACACCATTGGAGTGATTTACACCAAATACAGAGTTGGAGCAACACTATTCATATCTCTATATTTGGAGCAATATATAAAGCATCATTAAAGTGATTTTACACCAAATATAGAATTGGAACCAAGATTTGAAGCACCAATGGAGATGCTCCAAGCTCGGAACAGTCTACAAATTATGAAATAAAATAAACTTATATTTGTACCGACAAATGTATAAAATAGTAATAAATTTTCAATGATAAAAACTATCTTTTAATTCTTTTTTTTTTTGGGCAGTAAAAAAATATCTTTTAATTCATCTTAGGAAAAACACATTTTTAACCCTCAAAGTGTTACCCAGTAACACTTTAAACCTCGAAAAAATTTCACTAACTCTATAAACTACCAAGATAATTTTACTAACACTTTAA